GCCCATGATGCTGCCCACCGAACTGCAGCATATCAGCTGCATTGATCATCTCCGTACCTCGCTCGCTACGAACCCACAGTTACGGGCACCGGTGGGTCAGGCCACCTCCTCCCAGCTTCCGCTTCAACCAATGATGGTGATTAGAGGACTCACCCCACCTCCCGTCATCCTCCTCTCACCAGAAAGCTCAACACGGTCAACAATTACCCAGACTGGGAGGAAGAAGAAAGGGACACGAGGCAGGGGCAATACGAGAGCGGGCACCTCCGCTGGCACGCGAACGACGCGTGCTTAACCCCCTGAAAACCTCCTTTTTCCTTCTCCCCCTTCTTTTTCTGTGTTCTTCTGTCTTTTTTCGTTTTTCCGTTTGGTTTCTCTCTCTGACCATACCATCCTCTCAAAACAACCCCACTACCCTTCTGAGATGCACTGTCCCACCCAACACAACCCCTGGCCTGTGATTGTGACTGTCGGAGCGCAGGACCCGAGATGCTGCGTCAGTGCCCCCGGGCAGATGATCACCATGCCAACAGGCCGAAGGTCTTGGAGGAGGCAGAGATCGGACTGTGATGTCTTCCTGCATTTGAAGTACACCAGCAGGGTAATGGAACCCCTTTCCATTAGGAAAATGGTCAATGAGACCCTTGCAAGGATAATCGGCGATGACACAGCGACATGGCTGGAGAGCACGATGATCGGGTGGACTTATAACGCTAGCATCGCATTCAGACTTTGCAAGCCTGTGGGGGTGTTCTGCGGCTTCAATGTGGCGCAGTGGATGGAGGTCTATGACTCAGAATAGTGCCCCTGCAGGACTCGCAGATATGCAGACATGCGCAGCCCTGCCTCGCTGAATCTACTCCAATCCGAAAGGCACACACACGTGATCACACTTGACTCATCAATCACGGACAACCCTTTACTGCAAGGGATCATGAACTCGGGACTCAATCATATCCTCTGCATGGCTTTGGATGTCGATGTAGCGGAGAGCAAGGTGGGCGAATTCCTGGATCGGCTTATGGCGAGAGTGATGGAACTGCGAGAGCTTACGACGTCCACTCAGTCATTCCAACGTAGGGTAATCCTGAAGAAGGCGAGGGCGAAGATGTCCAAGTACAAGGAGCAGCATAGGCACGTGCCTGCGGAACCTTTCGAGCACCCTGCTGTAAAAAGGGAACTGGAGTTTCTCACTGGACGTTTTCTCATCTGCCCTACCGACAAGGTGCCAAACACTCCGGCGTTCGTCTGTAAGAACTTTATTCGCAAGCTCGCCTTCCAGAGACTATCCGGACCTGAGTTCGCAAGCATCGCAGCTCCCCCTGCCGCGGTGGTTGCACAGATACAAGGTGAACTCTCGGCCTTTCCAGCACTGCCGGTGGCGCCCGCGACACTCCCATTTCTGATGACGGTGTACAAGGCGCATAAAGGCGCATTCAGATGGATCACGAACACAGCCGGCACGGTTGTCTCCCCTACGGCGGACCTCTGTGCATGCCTTCTGCGGTTCCTCCTTCCCCTGGTACAGACGTTCTGTCAGGAGAGGAGCGTGGAGATGCAGGAACGGTACGGGGTGAAACCAAACTTGTGGTGGTCAATTGCCTCTGTTGGGGAACTCTGTGCAAATCTGCCGGAGAAGATTTTCTCTGCGTTCACGGCGGACATCACCAAATGCTTCGAGACGATCCCCACGGACAACTCGGAGGACGGATTACCTGCGGCGGTGAGATTCTACGTACAAAGCGCGATGCAGGTGAGAAGGGAGAGGAGCTCGTGCCATATTATTCAGATTAGGCTGGGGGACGGCGGCAAGCTCTGGCCCGCATGGGTGAGTGACGAGCAAATCGAGGGAATGGGCACAATGCTGTTTGGAGAGAAGGACATTTGCTGGCTTTCTGACTGGTGTATCGCTAACAGCGTGCTGCGCATGGGGGACTATGTATGGAGGCAGGTCAGAGGGATCCCGATGGGCTTGGCGTGTTCTCCTATCTGGTGTGATATATACTTTTTTAAGTATGAATATCATGCCATGATGAGATTGGCGGACACAGGGAACGCGCATCTTATCCCGTACTTCTCGGACACTTTCAGGTACGTCGACGACCTGGGGGCAATCAACAACACCATCATCAGAGATTTTATGAAGAAGGAAGCCAGGGAGGATGATGACCCCTGTTGGATCTATCCTACGGAGTACATCGAATTGAAGGAGAACACAGAGGTGGTCATGGACGGAGGCCGCTGCAAGGCCAACTTTCTCAGCATGACCATTACGATCACCTCCCCAGAAGCAGGCACATTCATCACCTCGAAACATGACAAGCGGGAGGGGTTGGGATTCACCCCTTGCAGGTACGTCAAGTACAGATCCAACAGGTACGCCAACCAGGCGCTGCAGGTCATCACGGCCCAGGTCGCACAGATACGGCTGCTCTGCTCCGAGCCACGCGACGCTGCATCGGAAATCAACAAGGTGGTGACTACAATGAGGGGCAATGGCTTCGCCAGGGATGCTTGTTGGGGAGTGGTCAGGAAGACCTTGCGGAATGCTCATCGCTACCAACCTGACTTAGTCTCTGTGCACATGGTCAGGGAGGCGCTGTCCGATATGTTTGGTTTCACGGACTGACTGTGCGCTCCTCATGCGTGTTTGTGTCTGTGTATGTGCGTATGTGTGTTGGATGTCCGAGGGACGACTGGCCGAGTGGGCCGGCTGTCCTCCGGGCAACCGCCCCCTCGGTACAGCTCGTCCCCCGGAGGGAATGGGGTGGGACACACACACACACACACACACACATACAGATGATAAGAGAAGGAGCGACGAGGAGCAGCCGGGATGACTCTCGAAGCCCTGCTTGCCCCACGAGCGGACCTCTTTTCCGGTTCCTTAATTTTTTCTTTCTCTCCCCCTTTTTTCCCCCCCCCGTCCCCCCTCTTTTTTTGGCCTTTATTTCTTTCGGTTTCTTCCTTTGTCCTTGTCCCCCATTTCCTGACCAGATTCCTTGAGAAAGGAAGAACCCCCGGTCAACTCAGATACCAGCTGGATGATGAGCCACGAGAACAGCCCGCTCTCGAAACATATCGAATAAATCACCTGGTAGGGATAGTCAGCAGGCACAGAATACGAGTTGATTGAATTTTTTTCTTTTTTTTCCTTTTTTCCTTTCCCTTTTTTTTCTCGTTCTTTTTTTCTTTTTTTCTTTTCTTTTTTTCTTGCTTTCTTTTTTTCTTTTGTCAAGGTCCGCCTGTTTACCGAAGGATCGGCGTAGATGAATGGATGGATAGGGACGATGGTTTGTTTCGCAAGGAAACGGCTCTCAGGTGGGACCCGCGACTATATTAGAATAGAACCCATGGGCACTATTCATCGAGGCAACGAACGGTTAATGATTCTGATGACGGAGCGAAACGCCCGGTTTTCGCATTTGCAAGGGAAATTGGGCAAGGTGGCGGGCGGCATGGACTTTTTTGCCGATTGGGACCTGGAGGAGGAACAACCAGAAGTGGAGGAAGTGGTAACTTTCTAGCGGTCGGCACCTTCTCGGTCTTTTCCCCGGAACCCGGCGCCTGAGTACTCTGCGACCAAGCAATATGCATGCCGACGCTACCTGCCCAGCTGAGCGTATCTTGCC